TCTACCCGAGTACCCACTATGCTGAACGGCCCTCCAAAAACCGTGATGTGAACTGAGTACCTCTATCCAAAATGATAGAAACTGGAATACCATGCAGACGAACAATCTCCCGGATATAGATCTCCGCCAACCGCTCCGAAGAATAAGTAGTACACACAGGAATAACGTGAGCGGACTTGGTCAGCCGATCCACAATCACCCAAATAGCATAGAACTTTCTCAAAGTGCGCGGGAGCCCAACTAAAAAGCCCATGGTGATTCGCTCCCACTTCCACTCCGGAATCTCAATCTGCAGAAGCAACCCACCCGGTCTCTGGTGCTCATACTTCACCTGCTGACAGTTGAGGCACCAAGCTACAAACCCAACTATATATTTCTTCATCTGCCTCTACCAATAGTGCTACCTCAAATCCTGGTACATCTTCACGGCACCCGGATGGATGGAATACCACGAACTATGGGCCTCCTCTAGAATCAACTCCCGAAGTCCATCAACACTGGGTACATAGACCCGACCCTGCATCCTCAATACTCTATCCTCGCCAATGGTCACATTTGTGGCATCACCATGCTGAACCTTGTCCTTGAGAACAAGCAAATTAGGGTCATCATATTGACGCTCCCTGATACGAACAAATAAGGAAGACCGAGAAACCACGTAAGCTAGAACCCGACTAGGCTCCTAAAGATCCAATCTCACAAACTGGCTGGCTAAGGCCTGAACATCTATCGCCATAGGCCTCTCCGATGCTGGTAAATAAGCCAAACTCCCTAAACTCTCTGCCAGGCGACTCAAAGCATCGACCACCACATTGGCCTTGCCCGGGTGATACAGAATAGTGATATCATAGTCCTTTAGCAACTCTAACCACCTCCTCTGGCGCAAATTTAAATCCTTTTGCTTGAACAGGTGCTGCAAGCTCCGATGGTCAGTATAAATCTCACAAGGCATACCGTATAGATAATGGCGCCAAATCTTCAGGGCGTGAACAACGGCAGCTAACTCAAGGTCGTGGACCGGGTAATTCTTCTCGTGCACCTTCAACTGTTTGGACGCGTAGGCAATCACCCTACCGTCCTGCATCAGAACCACTCCAAGGCCAATCCTCGAGGCATCACAATAGACAGTGTAAGACCCCAAACCTGGAGGAAATATCAAAACTAGGGTTGTAGTCAAAGCTGTCTTGAGCTTCTGAAAGCTCGCCTCACACTCTTCCGTCCACTGGAATAGAGCACCCTTCTAGGTCAGTCTGGTCATAGGGGCTACAATCGATAAAAACCCCCAGTAACCCGCCAAACCGAGAAAACTACGGAGCTCTGTAGTTGAGGATGGTTTGGGCCAACTCTGCACTACCTCTACCTTCTTCGGATCCATCTGAATACCCTCACTCGATACCACGTGGCCTAAGAATGCCACAGAATCCAACCAAAACTCACATTTTTAGAACTTTGCATATAACTTATTTTCCCTCAGAGTCTGAAGCACTGTCCTCAGGTGCTGCTCATGATCTTCCCGAATCCGAGAATACACCAGAATGTCATCAATAAAGACAATGACAAAAGAGTCAAGATATGGCCGGACACTGTGCATTAAATGCATAAAGGCTGCTGGGGCATTGGTCATCCCAAATGACATAACAAGAAACTCGTAATGACCATACTGAGTCTTGTAAGTAGTCTTCGGAATATCTGGCTCTCNTACAACTACATACATACAATGAAGTATACCCCCACCCCACACTTAAAATGAAGACATGTCCCCATGGCTTAAAATTTGAAAGAGCAGTGAGGTGAAGGAACTTCCCTGAAGTGTCACTCCTGGTCGGAGACAGTGTCTGGGTTGACGTTGCACGCACGACCCAGAGCTCGCAGCCAGCCCATGAATTTCTTTTCCTACTTCACTTGTCGGTCAGCTACCGCGTCTACTCGTGTGCCCAAATCAGTCATGGAGGTTCGCAAACCAGCCATCTCCTGCTCCAAAGCAGTGAAACGGGACACCCGAGCAGCTCCTGAATATGTCGCAGTCCCAGATGGTCCTGCAGCTGCTACAACGCACTCCTTAGCCTGTGGTGCTGCCTCCACACTGTCCTCAGCATCTTCCTCATCATCAGAATCATCAGAACTACTACTCGCCGCCACCGCTACTACTTCCTGCTCCTTGCCCGTGGTTACCTTATCAGCACGGAACTTGCCCTCCTTTCGTACCAACCCATCCACAGCTAGATTTTCGGGTACCCGAGCATCCCTGCATAGTTGAGTCACTAGAGAGGGGAAAAAGAACCTATACCTTTTGACTTGACTTCGGACGAATATCTCATCATGCATCACCTTGGCCAAATCGAAGTCGTAACCATTTACAAAGCACCAAATCAAGGCAGCTCGGGGCCCATTTACCTTTGTAGTATTGTGAGATGGAATCAAGCGGTTGTTGATGAGGTGCAACCAGCACTTCCCTTCAAATGTGAGTACTGAGGAGTGGAATTTCTCCCCATAGTCCATCCAGACCACTTCTTTTTCGGGCACACAAATAGTCTCAAAGTATCGTGCCCATTTTTCATCGTTCATTGGGTGGCGGCTGTACTCATAGAAGTAATCACCAGCATCTGGAGGTGGAGGCAGCTGGTAGGCCGTCCGTATTGCCTCAGAAGCATTCACCGCCCTTCGGCGCACCGTGACTACTCCATTAACATGCTCCGGTACATTGGCATAGAACTCCCGCACAACCATTACATTACCCTTACCGAGCTCATTGATGAAGGTTTGCAACCCTCACCTCACCAATTCATTGTACATGTGCGGGCAGTGGTGCTGGAGCCAGCCGACGTGAATACCCCTCTCCGGAATTGGCTTTCTACGAGCCTTTTCCGCAAAGCGGTCTTGTGCCTTGGCCGAAACAAATTTTGTAGCATCAAAGGAACGGGCCTGTGCAGCCCCTCTTGACCTAGCCGAACCAGCTTGGCTGCTTGATGAGGCCCCTGTGGCTTGTCGTTTCCTAGGTGGAGCCATGATACCTGTAACACGGGAACACATTAGCACAGCCCAACTAAAATTTTGTGACGCAATGCGGTTACTCAGACTTCACACGCATCGGTGGTCACAAACTACATAATCACGTTCATTCGGGCCTTTCCACGAACACCTTGTGGGCGTTAAACCTTCACAGCTCTTTTTAAGCTTTTTAGAACACTAATCCACCACATACACTCACTAAGATCACAAATTAGGTGGAATTCCACCCCACACTTATCACTCACCAATACTACAACATATTTCACTAATTTCTCTACACAAAATCTAAGAACAACTACTACAACAAGGTATTTGCATACAAACAACATCTGAAAAAAATAAAAATAAAAAAAGAGAAGAAAAGAAAAAAAAAAGAAAAAGAAGAAAAAGAAACTAGGGTTAATACCTGTGATGGACGATGGTGGTGAGTAGAGAAAGAAAATGGAAAAGAAGTCGTGAGAATGGGGGAAAGATTTGGGGGAATAATCGTGAGATGGGGGAAGGATTTGGGAGCAGGGGTTTTGATTTTTTGTTTGAATAGGGGAGAGTTAGAGGAGGGGTGGGAGTATTTTGTTGAACGGGGGTTTNGGGAGTTTAGAAGGAGGGGGGAATTAAAACCTAAACAAAATAAAAGTAGAAAAGGAAAAAAAAAACTTAAAAGTACTAAACAAAACTAGCGACAATTTGATGGAACTAGCGCGGCCAGATGCGCGGTCGCGCTAGTTTTAGCGCGGCCACAACAGAATCTTGGAGAAATTAGCGCGCCCAAATGCGCGCTCACATGCGCGACCACGCTAGTTTTGCGTTCAGAAGCGCGCCCAGGTGCGCGGTCGCGCTATTTTTAGCGCAGCCAAGACAGACTTGGTGCAAATTAGCGCGCCCAGATGCGCGTCCAGTAGCGCGGGCGTGCACCTGGGCAAATTTTTTTCTTCAACTTTTCACCTGTTCTTACCCCGTTCGATGGCCTTAGCACTTACCCATTGTCACCTGCATTTGTTAGCACTTCCTAAAACACAAAATCAACACTTACTACTATTGTTGGGTTGCCTCCCAACCAGCGCCTGATTTAACGTCGCAGCACGACGCAAAGTCTCACTTACTCATCAGCGAGTACAACCTTGGTCTTTTCACGATTAATCATTCCTCCCCAATAGTGCTTGACTCTATGACCGTTCACCAAAAATGTCCTCTCACCATTTAAAGCTCGCAGCTCGATTGCACTATAAGGAGTGACTCTCACCACCTCAAAAGGACCCTGACCATCTCGACTTTAGCTTCCCATGGAACAGCCATAGTCTAGAGTTGAATAACAATACCTGTTGACCTGTCTCAAAGTGACGTGGCTTGATATGCTTGTCATGCCACCGTTTTGTCTTTTCTTTATATAGCTTGGCATTTTCATAAGAGTGCAGCCTGAACTCGTCTAACTCATTCAACTGCATAAGTCTTTTCTCACCTGCGATTTCAAGATCCATGTTCAGCTTCTTAATGGCACAGTATGCTTTATGTTCCAGCTCAACGGGTAAGTGGCAGGCCTTCCCATAAACCAGCTTGTAAGGGGAGCTCCAATTGGCGTTTTATATGCGGTCCTATATGCCCATAGGGCATCATCCAACTTTGCAGCCCAATCCTTCCTATTCACACTCACCGTCTTCTCTAATATTTGCTTGATTTCTCTGTTTGACACCTCAGCTTGCCCACTTGTCTGCGGATGATATGCTGTAGCAACTCTGTGGCGAACTCCATATTTAGCAAGAAGGTTATTCAACAATCGATTGCAAAAATGAGTCCCTTCATCACTGATTAAGGCCCGTGGAGTCCCAAATCTCGAGAATATGTTCTTTTTCACAAGCAGCTACCACCATGGCATCATTGGTTGGCAAAGCAGTTGCCTCCACCCATTTTGATACGTAGTCAACGGCTATCAAAATGTATTTGTTTCCTCTGGACGGTGGAAATGGCCCCATAAAATCTATCCCCCACACATCAAAAAGCTCAACTTCTAGAATATTATTTAAAGGCATCTCATGCTTCCTTGTGATTGTTCCCATTCTCTGACATTGTTCACACTTCTTAACGAATGCATGCACGTCCTTGAATAAGGTTGGCCAAAAGAGGCCGGATTGTAACACCTTTGCAGCTATTCTATCTCCTCCATGATGGCCCCATTAAGGTGATGTGTGACAATCATACAACACTAATTCCACCTCTTTTTCAGGAATGCATCTCCTCATCAACTGATCAGCATATTGCTTGAACAAATAGGGCTCATCCCAGTAATAGAAGTTCACATCATGTAAGAACTGCTTTCTAGCTTCAGATTGGATTTCGGGCGGGAGTACTCCACTTACAAGATAATTCACATAGTCTGCATACCTTGGGGGAGAGTCTTGGGTTATAGCAAAAAGTTGCTCATTAGGGAACACTTCTTTAATTTGCCCACCCTCCTCCACGTGATTATGATTTTCCAACCGTGATAAATGATCAGCTACTTGGTTCTCTGTCCCCTTTCGATCTCATATTTCAACATCAAATTCCTGCAGCAACAAAACCCAGCGCATCAAACGAGCTTTGGATTCCTTTTCTGTAAACAAATACCTGATTGCTACATGGTTCGTATGAACTATGACTTTCATTCCCACCAAGTATGCCCGGAATTTCTCAAAGGCCCACACAACGGCTAACAACTCCTTCTCAGTGGTGGTGTAATTCTGTTGTGCATCATCAAGAGTCTTACTCGCATAGTAGATGGAATAAAACATCTTGTTCTTCCTCTGGCCTAGCACTACCCCAATAGCAAGGTCACTCGCATCACACATAAGTTCAAATGGTATAGACCAATCAGGTGCCACAATAATGGGGGCAGTCACCAACTTCTTTTTAAGTTCCTCAAATGCGTTGAGGCAAGAATCATCAAAATTGAAAGAGACATCTTTTTCAAGCAGCCTGCACAAGGGAGTGGCAATTTTTGAAAAATCTTTAATAAAGCGCCGATAGAAACCCGCGTGTCCCAAGAAACTCCGGACACCCTTCACTGAGATAGGTGGAGGTAATTTTGCAACCGCCTCCACCTTTGCTTTATCAACTTCAATGCCACTCCTAGATACTCTGTGACCCAACACGATGCCCTCTTGTACCATAAAATGGCACTTTTCCCAATTTAGTACCAGATGTGTTTCTTCACAACGGGCCAGCACCTTGCTTAAATTCCTCAAGCAATCATCATAAGAAGACCCAAAAACTGAAAAATCATCCATAAACACTTCCACGAATTTTCCACCATGTCAGTGAAAATAGCCATCATGCATCTCTGGAAAGTGGCTTGTGCATTACAAAGACCAAATGGAATTCGCTTGAAGGAAAAGGTGCCATAAGAACAAGTAAAAGTAGTCTTCTCCTGGTCCTCTGGGCATATGACGATCTGATTGTATCCTGAATAACCATCAAGGAAGCAGTAATATTCATGCCCGGCTAACCTGTCTAGCATTTGATCGATGAATGGGAGTGGGAAGTGATCTTTGCGAGTTGCCTTATTGAGCCTTCTATAATCAATGCAGACTCTCCAGCCCGTAGCAGTGCGAGTGGGGATTAGCTCATTCTTCTCGTTCTCAACTACAATCATTCTTCCCTTTTTGGGCACAGATTGAACCGGGCTTACCCAGTTGCTATCAGAAATAGGAAAAATGATACCTGCATCGAGCAACTTGATTACTTCCTTTTTCACCACCTCTTTCATAATGGGATTTAATCTCCTTTGCTGCTCTACACTGGGGCGGTGTCCATCCTCTAGAAAGATTTTATGCATGCAAAATGATGGACTAATGCCCTTGATGTCAGCTATAGTCCACCAATGGCCCTTTTATGCTCACGGAGGACTCTGAGCAATTTTTCTTCTTGAGTGCTGGTCAAGCTGGATGAAATAATCACGGGCAGTGTCTCTGAGTTCCCCAAATAAGCATAGCGCAGATGCGCTGGAAGTGGCTTGAGTTCTAGCTTCAGAGCTTCTTCAATAGATGGCCTGGGGAGGGTCAGAGTGACAGGCCTGTCCAACTCTTCAAATTTTCTAATCCCATGTACATAACTGCATGACATATCCAGCACTTGCTCAATTTCTCCCATCCTATCATCTTCACCATTTTCTACGTCCCCAATCAATACTCGTTCAACAGGATCTGCAGGGCTCATATAAGGTACTAACAACGTGGCATCACCTTCTACCACAGAGATCATGGACAATTCTTCATAGTGGGCTAGTAACTTGAGTGCTCTATAAATGTTGAAGACCTCCACTCGATCACCCGCTCTCATCGTCATCTTTCCTTCACAAACATCAATAATAACTCGGCCCATGGCTAAGAATGGATGCCCGAAAATAAATGGGACTTCCTGATCAGGCTCGTAATCCAGGATGATGAAATCAGCTGGGAATATAAAAGACCCCACTTGGACAAGCACATCTTCAATTACTCCCTCAAGATGAGCAAGGGAGCGGTCAGCTAACTGTAAGATAACTGTGGTTGGGCGTGGTTCACCCAACCCCAACTGTCTGAATATAGATAGCGGCATCAAATTGATGCTTGCTCCAAGGTCACATAGAGCTCGCCCAACAGCATGTTTACCAATCGTGATTTGGATAGTGAAACTACCTGGATCCTTCAATTTCTGAGGTAACTTGCCTTGAATTCTGGAACTGCACTCCTCAGTGAGTGCCACAGTCTCGAACTCGGTCAGCCTCCTTTTATTCGCCACAATGTCCTTGATGTACTTTGCATATTTGGGTACTTCCTGTAAGATGTCAACCAATGGAATATTAATTTGTACCTGCTTCAAGATATCAAGAAACTTTTTATATGCGGCATGATCTCGTAATTTCTGCAGTCTTTGAGGGAATGGAGGTGGTGGCCTTGCAACCAATTGTGGGGATTGCTCAGCCACCGCCTCTCCAGCCGGCTTCTCTGGCTCCTTGGCTTTCTCTGATGTTGATTCTACAGTGGCTGGCATCTCATTAAAAGTCACCTATTTCCTTTTTTTAGATAGAACTTCCTCTAGTTGTCTCCCATTCCTCAACGACACAGCATTAAGGGTCGCCCTAGGATTGGCTTCAGTGTCACTTGGAAGAGCTCCCGCTGGTCTAGTATTTTGAGCACTAGCAAGCTGTCCCATTTGACGCTCCAAATTTCTCACTGTTGTGGCGAGGGCTTGCTGTTCAGCCATCATCTTTTTAAACATGTCTTCAAGGTGGCTTGTAGGATTCGCTTGTTGTTCAACCTGAGGTGGTCTATATTGCTGTTGAGGTGCTTGAGGCCTGTATTGATTCTGAGTGCCCTGGTTTCCACCCCAAGAGAAGTTTGGGTGGTTCCTCCAGTTGGGATTGCAAGTGTTCCCATATCGGTTTTGTTTGGCCCCTGTTTGAATTACCCACAAAGCAGACAGACTCTAGGTTTGTGGGGCATATGTCGCTCGTGTGCCCTTCTCCACATATTTCACAAAAAGTTTGAACCTGTTGTACCGGTTGTGTTTGCTGCTCAAATTCATCTGGTTCACTTGATTGGCCAGTGTAGCAATCTGTGCTGATAATGCTGAGACGACATCTAACTCAAGAACCCCTGCAGACTTTTGCACTGTGTGCCTGGCCATCTCTCCTTGCCAATCTGGATTGCTCTTGGAGAATTTGTTCAATAATGCATATATCTCGTCAAAGCTTTTTTCCAACACTTGACCCCCAGTTGCAGCATCTACCACGATCTTTGTTTCAGAATGTAGCCCTTCTATGAAAGTGTGAGCTAACACTTCATTCATCTGCTTGTGATGAGGACAGTCTCTGAGTAGCCCCTTGAACCTTTCCCAAGTTGAGTATAACGATTCACCTGCTTTCTATTTGAAGGCCACGATTTCACTTCTGATCTTTGCAGTTTTGCCTGAAGGAAAGAACCTTGCTAGAAATTTTCTCGCCAAATCATTCCATGTTGTAATGCAGTTAGCTGGTTCTGCCTTTAGCCATCGCTTAGCCTCACCCAATAGAGAGAATGGAAAAAGTGTGAGCCTCACATAATCTGGAGTGACCCCGTTAGTGATATAAGTATCACTAATCTCCAAGAAGTTCAGAATGTGCTGCTGCGGATCCTCATGTGAAAGACCCATAAATTGCCTGTTTGCATGAAGCAACTGGATCATGCTCTGTTTCAGCTCAAAGTGCCCAGTGATCCTGGGCTTCACGATACTGGAGGTGACATTTGCAATGCTGGGCATTGCTACCTCCTGAACAGCCATAGGTTGCTCCTCTGCCATGTTCACAGGAAATTGAACAAGTGACTGCATATTATTCGTGTCCCTTGCTTCCCTCAACCCCCTGTGAAACGTTCTCTCAGGTTCAGGATCAAAGCCTTGAAGTCTGTCATGGCTTCTGACCCTACGCATTCAATCAAAGTTCCTGAGATCTGAGCAACAATCAAGCAACGTTAGACTAGGCGAAATAAGCAAATAAAGCAAAAACTAGCAAGTAGTTAATATACAAGTCCCCGCAACGGCGCCAAAAACTTGTTGGTCCCAAACGCACACACAAGTATACGTGGTCGACAAGTAATATAATGATAAGTTGAGTGTTGAACTCACAAAGACTTGTGTAAACTACTCACTAAATCACTAAACTTGCTATTCAATCTAGCTAAAAGCAAAGTCCAATAATATGATTATACTATACTACGATTCTAAGTAATACTAAATTATCAAGTAATGAATTGATTGTTGTGTATTCAGTAGAGACAGGTATTCCAGGGTTGTGATCGATTCACCATTCGTATTGTGTTCTAGTTAACTCTCCCTTTCATATAATTCACCCATGATTGCTAATTAATCGATAAATGCTCTCGTAGCCTTCTCCCGAAGTACTACTCACCTATTCTCAATAGATTAACGCCTATATTCCTATGAAATCAATCTATTAAGAATGCATTAAGATTACGATATTTATTTAAGCACGGTGACTAGGTATATTCCTATCCTAACCACAAATCCGCTCCCCCTAAGGGTTAAGATCATGCTCTCTTCAATTCTTCTCTAATCTAAACATGGTTTTCCCAAGCATAGCATAGATAGTAAATAGAACCTAACTGTTGGCCAGACAATTAAGCAATAAAACACAGAATTGAAGAAACAACCATATATTGGTGAATTATAATCAAGGTCAAGCTAATATCAAACAACAATATTCATGGCTAACTCACAACCCCAGAACAATGGGTCAGCCACTCATGAAGTAATCAAACAATTTCATAAGTTTTGATTAATTGAAAGTACTGGAAAGGATGAAGAATTCCGAGTTGTTCTTGCTCCTCAATGTTTCTAGTGTCTATTTTTGCTCCAAAGTGGCGTCCTCCCCTTTTCTTGGCCGGCTTCCTTCGTTTAAAATAGGGTTTAGGGCTTAAAATCCCGTGTTTTGCACTTTGGTCCCTGAAGTTTACGCGTCCTGCCGCGGTCCTACCGCAGTTACGCCAGGACCACAGCCAGAGTGGCCTTCAGAATCTGCAGCAGTGTTCTGCCGCGGTCCTACCGTGGTTACGCTCGGACAGCGGCCAGAGTGGCCTTCAGATCTGGTTTTGTCCCTTCGATTGGTGCACTTTGTGGATATTGTATGATTGGCCTCCTTTTCTCTGTAACTGATCCCAAAAGTACTCCACAGACTTCTTTTATTGGATATATCCTGCAAAGCATGAAAAGCACTAGTCAGAGCATTTTGTTATCACTCTTTACCATAAAAGCTATAAAAAATGTGGTTCTTTAGGGCCTAATTATAGTCTAATTTACCTATTATCACCTATCATCAATTTGTCTGGAACGTCAAATACGACCTAAGGAACCATAGTCACCGCCCGCCATGACCAAATTACATTTTTTGCATTTTACGGCAATTAAATTGGAATTCCGCCCGTCGTGCCGGTATTTTCGTCTGCCATGGCCCAAGCCCGACACCGTGGGACGGAGCCGGAACCAAATCGCCTAATATTTGTCCGGGATATCAAATACAACCTAAGGAACCACAGTCACCGCCCCATCATGACCAAATTACATTTTTTGGCATTTTACGGCAATTAAACTGGAATTCCGCCAGTCGTGCCTGTATTTTCGCCTGCCATAGCCCAAGCCCAATGCCGTAGGACGGAGCCAGAACCGTCTCGCCTAATATTTGTCCGGGACATCAAATACGACCTAAGGAACCATAGTCACCGCCCCTCCATGAGCAAATTATATTTTTTGATATTTATGGCAATTAAACTGGATCCGTACGTCGTGCCTGTATTTTGGCCTGTCATGGCCCAAGACCGACACCGTGGGACGGAGCCGCAATCGGATCGCCTAATATTTTTCCAGGACAACAAATACGACCTAAGGAACTAAAGCCACGGCCCCACCATGACCAAATTACATTTTTGGCATTTTACGACAATTAAACAGGAATTTCGCAAATCGTGCCTGTATTTTCGCCTGCCATGGCCCAAGCCCGACGCCGTGGGATGGAGCCGGAACCGGATCGCCGAATATTTGTCCGGGACATCCAATACGACCTAAGGAACCATAGACACCGCCCCGCCATGACCAAATTACCTTTTTTGGCATTTTACGGCAATTAAAGTGAAATTCTGCTAGTCGTGCCTGTATTTTCGCCTGCCATGGCCCAAGCCCAACGCCGTGCGACGGAGCCCGAACCGGATAGCCTAATATTTGTTCGGGACATCAAATAAGACCTAAAGAACCAGAGCCATCGCCCCGCCATAACCAAATTACATTTTTTAGAATTTTACAGAAATTAAACTAGAATTCCGCCAGTCGTGCCTGTATTTCCGCCTGCCATGGCCCAAGCCTGGCGCCGTGGGACGGAGCTGGAACTGGATCGCTTAATATTTGTCCGGGACGTCAAATAGAACCTAAGGAACCATAGTCACCCGCCCGCCATGAACAAATTACATTTTGTGGCATTTTACGGCAATTAAATTGGAATTCCGCCAGTCGTGCCTGTATTTTCGCCTGCAATGGCCCAAGCTCGACGCCGTGGCCCGACNCCGGAACCTGAACGCCTAATATTTGTCCGGGACATCAAGCTCGACCAAAGGAACGAGAGTCACCGCCCCGCCATGACCAAATTATATTTTTTGGCGTTTTACGGCAATTAAACTGGAATTCCGCCAATCGTGCCTGTATTTTCACCTGCCATGGCCCAAGCCAGACGCCGCGGGACGAAGCCCGAACCGGATCACCTAATATTTGTCCGGGACATCAAATACGACCCAAGGAACCATAGTCACCGCCCCGCCATGACCAAATTACATTTTTTGCCAATTAAACTGGAATTCCGCCAGTCGTGCCTGTACTTTCGCCAGCCATGGCCCAAGCCCGACGCCGTGGGACGGAGCTGGAACCGGATCACCAAATATTTTTCCGGAACGTCAAATACGACATATGGAACCATAGTCACCGCCCGCCATGACCAAATTACATTTTTGGCATTTTACGGCAATTAAACTGGAATTGCGCCCGTCGTGCCGGTATTTTCGCCTGCCATGGCACAAGCCCGACGCCGTGAGACGGAGCCGGCACCAGATCGCCTAATATTTGTCCGGGATATCAAATACGACCTAAGGAACCATAGCCACCGCCACGCCATGACCAAATTACATTTTTTGGCATTTTACGACAATTAAACTGGAATTCTGCCAGTCGTGCCTGTATTTTTGCCTACTATGGCCCAAGCCCGACGCATTGGGACGGAGCCGGAACCGGATCACCTAATATTTGTCCGAGACATCAAAAACGACCTAAGGAACCATAGTAACCACTCCGCGTGTCCAAATTACATTATTTGGAATTTTACGGCAATTAAACTGGAATTCTGCCAGTCGTGCCTGTATTTCGCTTGCCATGGCCCAACCCTGACGCCGTGGGACGGAGCCGGAACCGGATCACCTAATATTTGTCCGGGACATCAAATACGACCTAAGGAATCGTAG